CGGGCAAGATAGCTCCATCTTGCCCGTTCGGGTAGCCAATCACAGCGCAGGATTTGATTCATCTTGCCCGCTCACGGAGCTAGCCATATAATAATAGCGCTCATTGACCGCCCATGTTGCGCGTTATCGCGTCTGTCCACGCGTGGTCATTTAAAGGGCCAGCACACGCGCGAGTGAAAGCGTGTATCCACACGTGTTGGTGTTACAGATGAGAGTCACTTGTTCCATTATTCAGGCGAAGACAACACCAAACTGCCATGCATTTCGCGCGTATCCACGCGTGATCGCGCCAGTCACGCGTGGTCACACAAATCCCGCGAAAGACAATCGTCACGCAAAAGAGAGCGGATTTCCACGCGTGTTCTGGTATTTCGAAACAAGTGTTTCAAGTCGTAAGTTTCATGCTTTGAGCGAAAATAACACCACATTCACGTTGATGCTTAAAACAGATGTTTAGCTTCACATGGTTAAAGATTGTTCCATGATGAAATCCACCCGCCATTTTCGTCTCTCACACGTCGACAAAATTATTCTCAGAAGCAACCGCGCGACTGAAATTGCAACGTGGATCCCCGTGTGAAACAATAAAACCAGCTATTCCTTACCGACTCCAACGACTGCGGGACAGCGATCATAGATGTATTTTGAGGCGATTTCTCTAACCATCTTAGCATCAATCATCTACGAATTAGAGTATAATCAACAGCTCAGTGGAGATAATGGTCAAGAATTTAAGCCTTATGATTATGATTTCGAAGAGAATATCAGAAACATTTCTTACACCAACGTTAGCAATAATCAGTGATTTGTTTTTGCAGAACGGTAGCGACTACGCAAAAGACAGTAGCCTGTGAACAAACTCCGGCAGGAAGGGCTAAGAAGGAACCCGGCTGAGAGTGACGTGGCCCCTCGTCTCTCTTCTATCCTCTTTCTTCCAGCTTCCTCTCCGCCCCTTTCTCCACTACAGAGCTTGTTCACAGGCTAAACTACAGGTGCACATTAGATAGTCAGCACCACTAAAGGTTGAGAGGATGGAAATAGATTAAATCAGGAAAAGATTTCGTTTTCAAATTGAACTGAAGCCATTTTGTGGCCGTGAAGTTTTCGTCTCACCTCAATTCTTCTGTCGAGTTCTGGCAAGGGAATACGTCGGCCATATGTCAGCATTTGTCTAGAGGGACAAAAAACATTTTTAACGCTTTTTACGCTACCTAGAGGACAACTAAGAACCCCTTTAAGTTCCGCCGAGCTTTGAAACACGGACGGAGCATGCACCAGACGTTTAAAAAAAAACTTACCGTCCAATATCCTCACAGATGGGAGTCGATCCTACAGAAGTTAATAAAACAATTTGGATTAGCGTTGCTTCGATTTAAAAGTTCAAATCGAGAGGCCAAAATAAGTTAGTTTAACGCCCTCCTTCCAATAAGGGAGCACCTTAATTTCTTTGAGGGGAGGGGTGGGCAATTTTCTGGAGCATGAATTTTGTAGCATTAGGTTGTGCATGATGTTTTTATGGTGGGAAATAGCTTATGCAAGAAGTTTCTTAACATGACCTGGATAGTAGAAAGTATTATCTCGATGTTTTTTTCTCATGGCTCCCCTTACATGATTTTTGCTTCAACAGTTGTTACTGTGCAGGATTTTATTTTGGAAATTATCCCCC